ACATTTTATTTGTGTTTTTTTTTTGGAGTTTGACTGCCATGGTCACTTTGAAGTTGAAGTATGTAAAAAGATCTGTAAAAATTCTTGAAATATTCTTCAAAATTCTTTAGTTTGTGTGTATGTTCCTTGTACAAATAATAGCATAGGTTTGGATGGAATTATGTGAGAGAGACACCATTGTTCTAGTTTACCTCCATTCTTGGATCAAAGAGAGTTCAGTACCATCAGCAGTTATTAGCAGGCTCGTGAAGAATATACAGTACCCCCATAGAGAAATATCTGTCATTCAAATTCCACACGTTCTGCCCCTTGTGTTGGTTTATTTCAAACTTTGGATACTATGATTATGATTTTAGCTGCCAATAAGACAAAATGAAATTATATAGATCCCATTTAGGCTTGATCATTAGAGAGGAAAAAATATTATGAGCTATTCTAAAAAGCCATTCTAAAAAGCTGTTATTGGGTGCTTGAGTAATTTCTCAAAAATAACTTAAAATCTTGATTATTTTAGTCCCATAAAACAAAACACAAAAACAGCAACTGGATAATTAAAAAATGTGCATTGTTGCACTGACATTTTTATCTAAGACTAAGTGAAGTTGACAGTTGGTTTTAAAATGTATGGGTTCAAATAGAAAAACAAAAGAACCTCATTGTATTTAGATCAAAGCACTGCAATAGAACAAAGTGGTTTGACTTTCTTTTGTAAAAATTTTGTAATTGTCTCTCATGAGAATGACATTCACTGAATTAACATTACAGACCAATTCGACTCAAGACTTTGAGGAAAGTGTAAAACAGAGATACTGTCTATTCACTCCACCTTAGCCCAACAAACCAATGCTCTTCTGACATGCCCACCAGACTAGTTCAAAGACACTTTTCTCAATGGACGTGCTTTTAAGTGGCACTGTGATTTACTGCAGCTTAACAACACAAGTATGGCATGGGAAAAGAGGCACCTTAACTTATGGTGTGATTCTATAGGGTACAAAAATAGGACTTAAAAAAAAGTTTGCCATTTTTACAACCATGTTGCAAAAAAAAACCTGATTTGAATACTAAATAAACATTAATTTACATTTAAAATAAAAATATTTGTGATACAATTCTGGTTTATAGTTATTAATGAATTGATCTCAGACAATAAAGAAAAAATATTCTAGGGCAACAGAGTTAAATGCCTAAGCTTTACAAATGCAGCCAACTTTTGTAAAATTAAGAAAATGCAAAAATGTTATTTGCTTGTATTCCCACCATGCTATAGAACATGTCTTCTAGAATGGCGCATTGTTTTGGAACATTATTTTTTGCAATGATGTCTAATGTCATTACGGGTATGTTTTTATTTTTATATTTTGGAAATTAAACTTAATTTTGTTATATACCATTTTAGGGTATGATTCCTGTCCTACTACAGACGAGTACTGAGTTGATTCTGCCATGGCTCTAAACCACATATAAGCCAAAAAAAAAAAAAAAAAAAACTGTTGTACCTGTGAAGTATCGCTATCTTCGTATAATATATATATATATATATATATATATATATATATATATATATATATATATATATATATATATATATATATATATATATATATGAGTATAGATATGAGGAGACAGAAGATTGTCTTTAGCTTGAATTTATTCCAACATGACGTAAACTAACACAGGTGAATCTGCATTGTTTACTTCCAGTCCATACGTACGTATACATAGATACCGACATATGCTCAATCACAGATCGTAAGAGGTTTACGTGACAGTACCCGTTTGAGTTTGGTCTACTGGATGTGCACAGTTACTTCGCAGCCAATTATAATCATTGCTGTTGCTGATATGATGGTCACATGCTGTTATTTTCACAGCTCTTCATTTATCTTCACACTAACTCCCCATACACACATTCTCTCTAAGTGTATAATTTGTTTGTGTGTGCGGTGCAAAACACATCTATTGAGTAACTATGGCTGTGGTAGGAGTGCGCTGCTTTTTTAAGGGGTTCCACCGGTTGATATTACAGCTCTGCCGAGTTCACAATAGACAATTGGACCCCAAAATGATGCAATCTCAGACACATTCTACATCTGCTGTTCCCTCACTTTCTTTTTCATTTATTCCACTTATAGATGCCTTTTGTATCTTTATTTCTCACTTTTATCCTTTTTACTTCTGCGTTCGTTTTTCATTATTCTCTCTGTTCTTTTTTTTATTTTTATGCTGAGATACTGAAATCAATGCATTCCAAAGCTTTCTATCTCAGTGAATATGAGAACATGTGGCCATCTCTGCTGGTTTTCGAGCTGTCATCTGCACTGCAGGTGAACACATTGCACCTGCGGAACCCAAATGCATTTCTAGTGTTCAGATGTTGAGTCATGAAAGGAAGCTCTATATCGGGCTCAGAGTATAGACATGCTCACACAGGTCCACTCTTCAGACAAAAATCTGTATTTTTGTATTGTTGTCCAGTAACACAAGATGCATTTTTGATCTTGCGAACATGCCCATATTTCTCGCCGATTTTCCCATCATTAACATGCGTATTAATAGAAGTCAATGGAATGAAAAGTGTAGTGTGACTGCCCCTTAAAAGAAAACAATATATATACTCATTAAAATAACTCTTTTTTTTTTTTTTTTTCTCCACTGGAATGAAAGACAATAATAGCGATTAAGAAAGATTGAGTTTTTGGAATGCAGCAGCCTGAACAGCTAAATTGTCAGAGGATTTGATGAAAATATTGTAGTTTTAGGATTAAAGGAATGTGGCCAGGGCTTGACATTAACACCCGCCAAATGAGGGTGGATTTCAGCAGTGGCGTGTTACACAGTCACTCCTACTAGCCACTTTGGCGGGGTGAATTTTATTGATAATATATACAGTTTTATATTATAATAATATACAGTATATATAATATATGCAGTTTTTATATTTTAAATAATATACATAGTCTTTTAAGAAGACTATATATCCCCTCCCCTCACTCACTCGTTTCATTTGCTCCGGATGAATATTGTTTTTATTACAGGGCTTGAATTTTGGTGTGGGATTGCGCGTATTGCTCATACTTTTACTCATTCCCGCAGATTTTGTGCTCACACCCACAGTGCGCACACATAAAGCCGCCTCTCAGTACTAAAATCAGTTCTTTTTCACTGCCTATTGCACTTAAACAGTCAAATACACACAAAATAATGTCAAAATGCAGGTCTTTGTGAGTATTCACTTAAACACAATGTTATGTTTTAAGTAAACGTAAACAGTTGAGAAAGAAAAAAACGTGTAATAGTTAGTGGGTTTGTGCGTCAGGTCCTAAAGTGACAGCAGCCTAATATACCTGCTGCCAAATTATGAGACAATATTAAATATATCTATATGGCCGTTTTTTCCCCATGGTATCGATGCCAAAATTGTGGCCAGTGAAGATTCTAAGTGGCTAGTAACTTTAGGAAACCACTAGCCACAGTGGCTGGTGGGCAAAAAAGTTAAAGGGACACTATGCAGCTTTTTTAGCTTAACTGAACAGCTTCAGAGTTATTGAAATGGTTATATAACTTCTTTCGGGTTGAATGGTGGGCGTCTCGACCCCCCCTGGTGCCTGTGAGCGAAAAAATCTCACTTGCAACTTTGGTGCGGCGGGCCGCGTCAGGAAGTATCGCGTGATATCAGCTCTCGCGATGTAACATATTCCTTTACGGCAACTGCACACATACACACAGGAACAAGGTATAGATGGATGGAGTTTGTCACACTATCGTAATGGCTGAGCCGGCATATAAGATGCAGAAAGCTAGGAAAGCATTGTCGGAGGAACAGAGAAAGAGGAAACGGCAGACTGACCGAGCGAGGAGTCGGACACGAGCATAGGCATAATTTGCGGGTGTGTTATGTCCCCATTGAAACTTCTCGCGGCACGAATGTAACGTTACCATTACAAACAAATAAAACATCTCCAGGTAACTCTAGTAGAGCATTCATTTCGTTCGTTTGTTAAATAAGAGGCGATCTGAAATGTGTTATTTTTTAAATCAATTGACCAAAGTGCTCGTTGCCTCTGCGATCAGTGGTGCAGATAAGTTACAGTGTTCTGTTGTGACGCGCGCCTGAATCTGTGCGGGGACTGAGAGACTCTCTATATTTTGTTATGGTGAAATCACAAAACCTAATGCACAAAAAACATGTCCCTGCTTGAAATACAACCACTAATAAACAATCGGTTTTGATGAGGAAAATAAACTATACTACTAGTACCGATTAGAACCCAGAACCTCTGACACACTTGGCAAAAGTTCTGCCTCTGGACCATTAAAATTGTCGGATCTATGTATTTAATCACGTGAAAATTCTCACCACTAACAACATATATTATATCTCATTAAACGACAAATTAAACACAATGTACTATTGTATACTATGTAACAGGCCATGTCACGCTCTGAGTGAGTGGTATTTACGACAGTAACGTTAAATTCAAGTACTCCACAGTAACTCTAGGGGTCGCTGTTTGACAAAAACGGGATTTCTGCATAATGCCCCTTTAATGTCAAGCCCTGAATGTGGCACATAAAATACAGGACAATAAACCACAGGGAAGCCTTTCGTAACATATTAAATATATACTCTATAGTTGCATTTAAAAACATAAAAAATACATGGTCAAGCCAGTTAAGACATACATATTGAGTGCTTTTTCACTGAGTTGGCCTAAGCCTTTACGTAAAGGTTTTAAGTCAAATTGTAAGAACGAGAATCTGACTCTCGTTGATGTGAGACATCATACTAAAGACAAACTATTTGACCAAAAGTACATGGACATGGATAAATGAATGGGTTTTGAAATTTTAAACCGCACAAAGCTACCCATAAAATCAAGTCATCAAGTCAATCAAAATCAAAATTCATATTATTATTATTATTATTATTGATTATTATGGTTGAGTGTTTTAAAGAAAAAATAATTAAATGTCTCATGGTCATTTCTATGTTTCAGGTCATCACTGACGTGCCCTCATTGCCTTAAACAGAGCAACACCTTTGACCCTTTCCTGTGTATTTCACTTCCAATCCCACTACGACAAACCAGGTATGTTACTGTTCCTTTTGTCTGTGTCTCTTTGAAATCTATTAGGACTCATTGTCTGTATGCTATATGTATTTTTATGTCTGTATACGTGTTTGTGTGTATATGTGTCTGTGTGTATCTTTGCTATTGTGTGTTTCAGTGTGTTCGTGTCCTTAGCCACCCTGAAATTCTTCATGTGATGAATGACCAAGTGAACAGCTCTTACCAGAACATTGTCTCAATTTTCTTAAATCTCAAAAACTGCCAGTCAGCAAAATCTCTTCTGTGAGACTGTCAACCTGTCAGACAGACCGATAATAGAACGCGAGAAAATATATGGAGAGAACTACGGCTCATCATGAAGACTTGTTCCTACTGTCCTTAACACTCAGATTTCCCAGCATTTCTGAATCACATTCATGAAAGTGAAAATGGCATATCTAGCCTCACTGAGAGCTTAGGGGGCCAAATTGAAAGGTCTTCAGTAAATTTTTTAAGTTTTAGTGATAAAACCTACGATACTTATTGTTATGAATTAATATGAAGACTACAAATTAGATTAGACGCATGCCATGGATAGACAGAAACACTTCTGTTAGCAGACCAGCACTGCTTACATGTGAGCTGAACTCCTGGCCAAGACTTTAGGGAGCCAATCAGGTTAGCCAGCACAGCCTACAGTGCCCAAGTGCCTCTAGTCAGAGAGATCAAATACAATAAATTATCTTTCATTGAGCTGGTGGGCGAATCTCATCTAAACTTTCAAGAAATACATATATAAAAGAAATCATTCTCATTTTTTGTAAAATAAAAAATATATATTCTCATTACTGTAATACTATCTGTACATGAATTTCATTAATACATTCCCGTAAATTAAATTTAAATTTGTACAACCATTTGTGTTATGATATGTACTTACAATTATATTTTACTAATATACTTCACAATTGAAATGATTAGTTCACCCAAAAATGTAAATTGTTGTGAATATTCGAGAACCAGATCAGTCCAAATCATTCGGACCAGTTTTGTGAACTGGATACACCAATTTATTATGATGATCTTATTCAAAAGAATGGTTCTTTCAAAAATCAGACATCGCTACTTCTCTCACAAACTCTCATTAATTCACCACAGTCTGATACTCACGGAAAGTTATCGTATTGATTTAGAAGACTAAAAATATCAACCCAGACTCATTGGGAAAAAAGTGCAGCTGGCGACATTTCTATAAAATGATGCATGGCAAGTGCAGTGCTGTACCAGATGAGCTACCAAGCAAGTTTACTATGTCAGAAAAGCCTATACATATGGAGTTGGTTATGTGATGCAAATGGCAAAATATATTAGTTTACAAATCAGGCACTATATGCTAAAAAGTCATAACATAGTATTGGGCAAGGAAATGCACAAAAAAGAATTCTCTATTAATCAATAATCTGCTTCTGTTTGTATAGGTACTGTTTAGTTATTCTATTGGAGTCATGTTTTTCCAATGAGCCAGTGTTGCAAAATCATTATATTAAAAGAGTGGTCAAAATAGTTTATTCACATTAAAGTTGTATGTGTTTGGAATGGCATGGTGGCACAATGTGTCATTTGTGCTTGCATTATGAAGTCACAATGCAAAATAATTTTGTCTTACTTCCTTTTTTTTTATTTGGTCCCAATAACTTACCCAATTAGTGCTTTCAGTTTTCACATCAATGTGATTAACTCTAGTTGGTGTCTGCAGATATTTGGTACGCTAGTCAGACTGTACTTTTCAAAGGAAAAATGCACAAATATGTATTTGCAAGTGGTAACACATCCAACCTGCACTTTACCACACCCAGACACACTCTGAAAACACAGAATAAGCTAAGTTTGATTGACAGTCCACATATATAAAACTCTGTCACATGATTCAGACTCTGAGATAAAATCTAAAAAGCTTCGGTTGACTTCTCACTGGTTCACTCAAGTTAGAGTGTAGTTTTTTTTTTACAACTGAGTGCTTTTGTTGGGTCCAGCATTTCACATACAGCTTTCAATAATGCAGCAGAGAGAGGCATCTAAAAGTCCACCCAAGTCTCCAGAGCCATAATGTCCACAACTGCAGCTGCAGTGAAAAATGCTACTGCACTGAGACGGTCAGCTGCTGTGCAACTGGCTTGTATGTATATAAAAACTATATTCAAGCCAAACAAATACAGCAGGAAACAGATTAGCTCCCAACCCTAATGTGCTCTGCACCCACAAGCGGTGTGTATGTGGCAGTGTTAGAGACACGTGCTGGTTTAAATCAACCTTCAAAACATGTACACGCACAACCAGACATATCTACACTCACTCAGACTGTAGCCCTGCATGTGGCGAATAGATTTTGATTGGTTACTTACTCTTTCACACACTAAGCAATAAGCCACAAGAGTATGTAACCGCATTTCCATTACAGATTTGCACATTACGATATTTTCTAAAAAAAACTATTGCAAAATGACGTTATGACAACCGATAAATTTTGCGACTGAAGTGTAATTTTTTCCTCTTGCGATTAGTTATTCCAAGTCATTCAGTCAATAAGTCATTCCAACAATTATGGCAATGGATGTTGGTAGGTTTGCATATATCCCAGCCACCGCACTAGCCATTATTTTTATTTGAAGGAGACGTAGGCATGTTATCCAAGCATTAATGGCAAGGTGACCTGTAAATGCGCAAAAACGGTTTCCATTGCAGTTTTGCGGAGTATTCCTTTTTCGAACTGCCTGAAAAACCCCCTCATGAGATCGTAAAAACTTTTTTGCAATATATGGGAGTTTTTGCGAAATTGACGTGTCTCCATTGGGCGTATTTTAAATTTGCAATTTTAATTTGCCGCAATTTGAAGGGTAATGGAAACGCGGCTTATGTTACACTGGTTTTTAACCATGGGTAAAGGGATAGTCCACTCAAAAATAAAAATTATGTTTCATTTACAAAAAAAAAGCTCCATTAAGCCTCCAACAACTCCTTCAGTCCTTCCAGTCTTTATTTAAAAACATTTTCCCTGAAAATTTGAGTTGGAATAATTTGCGAGAGTGTGATTTATAAACGGTGAAAATTACGCCATGATTTACTCACCCTCAAGCTATCCTAGGTGTATATGACACTCTTTTTTTCAGACAAATACAATTGGAGTTCTATTAAAAAATGTCCTGGCTCTTACCAGCTTTATAATGGCAGTGAATGGCCGTTTCTGTTGTGAAGTCCATAAAAGTGCATCCATCCATGATAAAAGTAATCCACACGGCTCTGGGGGGTTAATAAAGGCCTTCTGAAGTGAAGTGATGCGTTCGTGTTCGTGTTCGAAAAATATCCATATTTAAAACTTTATCTACTAAAATAACTAGCTTACGGCAGACGGCCGTACACATCGATTTACATCGAGAGACTAACCCTTGACCTGACGTACAACGTAATGACGAATGCGGAAGCGCAGAATAGAGCAAAACAAAACACAAGTCACGAATTAGAAGTCTAAAATGAGAATTTTTTTAAGATAAATGTTGGAGGAGCTTGAGTTTGTTGCCCTGCCCTGTTTGTTTGAACTGCGAAAGCCATCAAAGCTTACGCTACTCCTACATCCTACGTTAATCATTAAGTGTTAATCTTTTGTCGTAAGTAAACTTGTGTTGGCCGTCTGCCTGAAGCTAGTTATTTTAGTCGATAAAGTTTTAAATATGGATATTTTTCTTAAACGAACGCATCGCTTCACTTCAGAACCCCCCAGAGCCGCGTGGAGCACTTGTATCATGGATTGATGCACTTTTATGTATTTTTTATGGAAAAATATACAGCCATTCACTGCCATTATAAAGCTTGGGTGAGCTAGGACATTTTTTTTATATATCTCCGATTGTTTTCGTCTGAAAGAAGAATGTCATATACACCTAGGATGACTTAAAGGGATACTCCACTTTTTTTGGAAATAGGCTCATTTTACAACTCCCCCAGAGTCAAACTGTTCAGTTTTACCGTTTTTGAATCCATTCAGCCGATCTCCGGTTCTGGCGGTACCACTTTTAGCATAGCTTAGCATAGATCATTGGAGTGGACAAGACCATTAGCATTTCTAAAAAAAAAAATGACCAAAGAGTTTCGATAATTTTCCTATTTAAAACTTGACTCTTCTGTAGTTACATCGTGGACTAAGACCGACGGAAAATGTAAAGTTGCGATTTTCTAGGCTGATATGGCTAGGAACTATACTCTCATATCAGCCTAGAAAATCGCAACTTTACATTTTCCGTCGGTCTTAGTCCACGATGTAACTACAGAAGAGTCAAGTTTTAAATAGGAAAATTATCGAAACTCTTAAAATCGAGTATCCCTTTAAGGGTGAGTAAATCATGGGCTAATTTTCATTTGTGGGTGAACTATCCCTTTAATGTCCATAACAACCTTTGCAGTCCCATTTAGCAACATTTTTAAGACAACTAAAAGCTTTAAACACATTGTGTTTCAGTTTTAATGTTCCATTAATGTTGCAAAAATGTCTGTGGTTACCATTACTTGAAGAGACTTCCCATTTTTTCTTATAAATGAAAAACTGCTATGGTAAAAACCCCTTGGAACCCATAGTGAATTAGATGAATTTGCTTACAAATTGACATCATGAACAGTTGTATTAGATGATGTGCTAAATATGTATGTTTATTGTGTTTTTAGGGCCTTGAATGTGACGCTGGTGTTCAACAATGAAGGTCAGCGGTTTGTGAGAGTAGGGTTGGCTGTGCCTCTCTTTGGGTCGGTCTCAACACTCAGGGCCATGGTAGCGGAGGAGGGCAAGATCTCTTCAGACCAGGTGAGACCTGCTGTCTATCATATCTGCTGGTGTTTTCTCTCTCTTTCTCTCTCTCATCTGTTCCTATTCTTGAACTACATTGTGTGCAATACACACTCACACCATTCGTTCATAATAAAATATTGTATTGCACTGCACAAACACACCTTACATAGTCTTGCCAGAGAAGAATTCCTCTTGCATACATCTTCCAGGCTTATGAAGAGTAATAGCGAACAAGAGCATGTATCTCTATTCATACGCCATTAAACTGCCTCCTCTGAACACTCCATCTGTTGGTTAATGGAAACTACCCAGACTTGCTCAGCCAGGGCTCAAGGTGTTATTGTGCTGCAAGATACATGTTTAATGACACTGTTATAATCATTTCTATAATCCTTGAACATGCATTCAATCACATCATCACTTATTGAAACCTGGTGCATTTTGCACTGTTTGATTTTGGCTTTTGTTGGGTCCAACATTCCACATGTCATAATGATGATTACTGTGATGTTACACAAACCTGTTTTTGTGTTTGTTTGGAACACAAACCTCATTGATTCTCATGTCAAGCATGCACATTTGAGCTTCCGTTTACCATATTTGATGGTCATGTGGGTTTGGAATGACATGAGGGTAAATAAATGTCAAATATAATAACTGTGAACTAACCATATAATGTGCTTGTGATTTAGATTATTAGTAAAATAATAGCAACATGCACATTGCCTAAATAACTTTTTTATTATTATTATTGTAAAAACTTTGTAAAAACTTAGCCTTGTATTAGCAGGGCATCCCACACAATATACTACTGTAGATGGTGGCTCCCCCTTGTGGTGGGAGGCAGTAATGTGTGTATGAGTATGTGCATGGTTGGTTTAGAATAGCTTACTACCATACTAATCTGACTATGACCGCATTATATACTATTTATCTTCTTTGTTTACTAAAACCCAAGTTGCTCGTTTATCGGAATAATCCGTTTCATGGTGTGCAATGCCTTTTGAAATGAACATTTCTCTTTCTCTTATAGGTGATTTTGACAGAGATTAACTCAAATGGGTTCCAGCGCTCTTTCTCTGATGAAGATGATATGACGAGTATCTCAGAGAGTGATGTCATCTACGCTTTCCAGGCTCCACCCCTGTCCGCCAGAGGAGGTTCCATGCGATTCTCAGGTAACCAAAGTGATACATAAAGAAAATCGATGCACTGCTTCTGCTAATTGTATATTGACAGTTGAAGGTTCTGTAAATGATTCGAGATTTGTGCTAACTCCCATCTCTCACAAGGCCAGAATTTTTTTTTTCGTGCCAGCTTATTCTGGCCAAGAACCGCCCACTTAGACCGGAGGAAACCACTGTGTCCTCCTCTCTGCCGAGTCATCCAATTTACCGTCATCGCCCTCAGTGATTCCAGCTTTTCGAAATATTTCACATACCATTTCAGTTTTCCATAGATACTGTACAAAGCTGTGTAACTTCTTCTGTTTTGTTGGCTGCATTTTTGCTCTATAATGAGAGGGCTGCGATGACAGATTAGCGATGCTAGAATTTATATTCTAACTTTAATTCCAGAAAATACAATATTTCTGATGAAAAAAGTGCGGACCACTCCCTTTCCCTTTTTTTGCTGTTTACATTGCCTAGGGCTGTCACAGACAGATTTGATTCCTCTGGACATCTTTTTCAGTGATATCTGTTAGGTAGTAGGGATATTTTGTGGTATTCCACCAAAAATATTAGCGTACAGCACTTTTAAGAAAAATGTAGGCATAAAAGGCAATGTGCTGGAAAATGTAGCATTATAGATAGATATTTACACGGAAATATCTCAGTACACGGTGACTTCTCAGTCCATTGATGCATCTTTGTGATAGTTGCAGCACGACTTTTTCCTTAAAAATGAGCTTACTTTTTCTCCCAGCTATGTTATGGCACTGTATATCATAAGTTCACTGAAAGGTCGAAAGAAAACGTTCTACTTCAAAATTAGGACGTTTTTTTGAATTACAGATACAACCCGGTTTACAAGTCTTTATAGCATGTTTATGTAATATGGCTGTCAGGTGGACGATTGAAGATTGATGACAGTGCTTATGAGGGTTGTCAAAAGTGGAGGATGAAACTAAATTAAGGGGCAACTTGCTCCATGTAGAATAAAACAACTTTTTCTAGCTACTGATGTGACATCCCTTGTGAAAAAGAAGTACACTTTAGCATACTTTTAAAAATAGATATAGTTATAACAGAAATAATTAAAAGAAAACACTTTGCAAACTGAATGTAATATTTACGGACACTAAACTGCATGTTAATTTATTATAGTTTAAATTTATATTAAATGCATGTAGCTGAAGTTTTTTTTACCCACTTAAGAAGGACTTTAATGCATGTACATGTAATTACTTTTCATAATTACTTCGGTTGTCTTTAAAATATGGTTAAATGTACTGCCGAATGTACTGACAAGCATTTAAGTAAACAAACAAAAAAAATACTTTAATGTAATTACATTGAAACTTGTATGTCATGTATTTACATATATTTGTGATTACACATGCAATGAGGATGTTGCAATTTAAAACATATTACCTTTAATATGGAATATCACACTACAGTTCAAATTACAAGTAGCCTAATTTACATGTGCTTATTTATGCTAGTCAACACATCGATATAAGTGTACTTTAAAGCATGAGAAAAGATTACCGGTATTAAAACATGATTTAAGTGTACTTTAAAGTAAAACTTTTGACATTACAAAGTGCACTTTTTATTACAAATTTGTAATAGCAATTGTAAAAAACATGGGCAAGAAGGTGTGCTTTCTTCAAGTGCTCTTAAGATTTGAAGTACACTACAAGTGGACATTCAGTACAATTGAGTGCACTTCTTTTTCACAAGGGTTGATCTTCTTATGTGATTGTACGTTATTAAAATATATGTGAACTTTTTCTGGGGGAAAAATGCATATAGGGTGCAACACCAGCTGAAATTCCTTGCTTACATATTATTAATACTGTATGTGAATATATATTCACATTAGAGGTTGTGGAACAACTCATATTATCAGTATATTATACAAGGTTCACATGGTTCTGTCAAAACACTTTACTTACTGCTCATCTGGCTATCAGCGGTTGGCTAATTTATTAAATATTTTAGCATTTTGCATATTATCCATCTTAATTGCATTGCTGATCACAGCAGCCACATTTATCATCAGATAGGTAGCATCAGTAAAACATTGTAAATGACTCATGACATGATGAAATATATAGCCTACAGTATAAGTTTTAAATATGGCTAATATTGAAAATACTGAATTAGAAAGTGTAATGAAGTGTAAAGCAAATCAGGCTTATATACTGTAGATCTCTCTATGATTTGGCCTTTTCTACTATAATGAAATATTTTTTTCTTGTGCAATTTCCAATCAGATGAGGCTGTGTTAGGTGTCTGCCAAGGCTTTATTGAAAAATGAACGTTTGCCATGTGTTAGATTTAGAAATTGATATTCCATCTGATGGAAAATAACAACACTGGGATTACTGCAAAGAAAGACAAATGGATTGGGAATCAGAGTCTACGTCCTTGTTCTTATCTGTATGCATCTTTCTTTTTTCCAAATAAACTTTTATTGTGTTATAACCCTCTACAACATACAGGATAATGAAGCGATCCATCTGCAAGGTCAATTGAAGTAAATTCTTTTAAAATGTATTTTTGTATAACACTTTGTACAACAGTTATTACCTGAAAGGACTTTTAAGGGGTATTATAGCTAGACCTTCAATGACCAAGCATGGTTACAAGAAAAAAAGTAACTTAAAGTTGAGTTAGTAAGTAACCTTGTCCTTGGGTAGAACTAAGGATCAAAAGATAAATCCATCTTCCTCTGCTTGGCCTGACTGGAGGCCATTTTGAAATAATCAGTAATATGTGTTGATGTATTAAGGCATGTACAGTAGAAAGTATTTTCACCTGACCAATTTTCTGAGAGAACATTTGGTTTGGTCCGGTTACAAAAGATTAGCCTGTTATCGTAATGTTTTCGACCGAAAACTTGATCACTTGTTCTTATTTCACTTCTGATCATTTTAAGACTATGGATTATCCCTTTTTCCAATTGCCATATGCTCCTGTGCTTTTCACCTTGTTCTAAAACTAGTTTTCTTACAGATATAGTAATTATAGCTCATCAATATCAGAAAACAAGTGCTACCCAGCTTTGTCATGAGCCTCATTTCTTTTACAATGCGCAGTATATTAAGAGTGTTCATCAAGCTGTGAGAAACTTTATAAATAACTTTTTGCTGACTTTGCTTAAAGGCATGTTTTATATACATACAGCTACTACTGCAGTGAAAGCTTCAGAGACAGTTTGTCATGACTCTCTGCCTCATTATACGTGACAGTTACCGATCGGCACTAAAATGTGGGTTGTAGTCTTCTGTCACTCTGCAATTATGTCACAGCTTTTTGTCCACTTATAAAGCCCTTTCTTAAAATTGCTGTATTTTTTAACTGAACTTTTTTTTTTACAGAAAATTGAGCATCCCTTTCAGATTCAAGATGTATACAAATTAGGATAGTGCATACATTGTATTCTTTACTCAATGCTAATGTTTTATGTATTTGAGGAATGGAGAAGAGTATTAATCTAGCATTTGTCGTCGAGTCATACCCACTACTGTCTTAAATAGCCTGTGCAAAGCACTTCATCTTTATTAACATGAGAATTTGACAAAATGGAGTGGAATGGAAAAAAAACAGAGTGCCCACATACAGTTGCTACAGTAAACTTTATAACCTGTAAGTTGATTAAAACGTAATGTAATGCACTTACTGCCTCAGATGCGGCCATCTAATGACAGACAAAACACGTATGTCTGAAATTATCCTAAATTCACTGGTCATAAACATTGTAACTCCCTTTGAACTTGAATTTGGTCAAAAATAATAATATAATGACAGTAATATATGCCGACGATATGAACTGTTTTAGAATATCAAGGAAATGCAATTACTCAGCCTCCTTGTTTATTTATTTTAGATGCTTTTACACATATTTGGGTAATGTATTTAATATAATGCATTGCTTGGGCAGAGATGTACAGTTATCGTTAATTATTTATGTGTGTGCCTACCCATGAGAGCGAAATGGGACTGTGTGTGTGTTTTCAAGGACACAATGAACTCTGGTTCTATTGTGGTCCTACTCCTAGAACCTTAAAAGGAAATCAGCCACCTTAGTTTACAGGAGTTCAAGGACATGAAAAGGCGGACAGTTTGCACCTGCGAGGCCTTAGAAGGATCTTGAGTCTTGGGAAAGTTACAACGTGCGTCAATCAAGAAGATTGTAACCTAACTTTGGCGGTAAACAACAGAGGTATAAAATACTGAAGAGTTGATTGCCTCTTTGGATACTGATACGTCAGAACCCCCGACTCTAAAGCCCAGAGCTGAAGACAAGAAGCCCAGAGCTGTCTACACCTTTGATTGAAAGCATGATTATTGTACAGACTTTGTATTGTCTGCCTTCGAGGCTTTGATTTATAGTGTTTTAAGGCTTTGAGCAAGAACTTACCACAAAAGTCTTGAGTCTTACCACAAGTCTTGACAAAAGTTGAAGCATTTTATGCTTATAATTTAGGCCAGACTCGAATCGACTTCCTTTACCTAACCCGAAAATAAGCAATAATAAGGTTAAAGGTGTTAAGTTTAAAGTACACACCGCATAACAGATGACTGCATGACTGAAATAAGAATAAACAAAACTATTTCAATAAAATATAATCTTGTGCTGTCACACAGGAACTACACCATATTTCATATAATTTAGTGATAAACCAATTACCAATTAAACCAATCTACAGTTTTTCACTGTATATGGTGAGGTAACAAAGTTAACCAATTAACTGTTCACTTTTTTTCTGTAAAAATTACAAACATTTTACAGTCTATTGTAGCTCACATTTGGTAGCACAATATTTTTACCCTCTTGTCCAGTGCATATACCAAATTCCCTCCCTTGAGATGTGATCGACAGACTAGGTTAGAAGGTCATCTGTCTGAACTGTTCTTAGACTCACATCTGGGTCTCTCTGAAGCTTTAGTTGATAGAGGTTTGGTGAGGTCATGTGTAACTGAGCAAATACACACTCCACCTCTCT